CTATAACTGTCCCACTGTATTCCAGCTTAGGGTTATTAACCCACACCCAAAGTGGTTAAAATTAAAGGAATTGACAATACCAACTGCTGTTAGAAATGTGGAGCAAATGGAACTCTCCTATTTCACTGTTGGAATTTTATTAGTAAAACCACTTTGAAAAGCCTTTTTAATTATCTACTAAGTCTAAACATTTTATACAGAAACTCATAATGACTGAATGTACATCATTAGTAAAATAGATAATTAATTTTTAATATATTAATATAATGGAATATTGCATAGCAATAAAACATCAAACAACTGATGATTTCAATAACTTGAATGAATCTCATATTCACAATGTTGAGTGAAAAAAGCAAGATGTAAAATAGTACATACTACGTGAACATTTATCTAAGTTTCAAAATTAGGGGAAAATTAGTATTTTATTAAGATATTTCCCATATCTCCCTATGAAAGTAGAAAATATATAAGTAGTTACTTTGGGGAATCACCATCCAGAATGAAGACACAAGGGTACCTAATGGGGTACTAGGAATGTAATGTCTTTGTTTCTGTGGTGAATTGTTTATAAAGATGTATTAAAATCATCAAGATGTAGACTTAAGATTTGTGCAACATTTTATAAATAATTCTTACTTTAGTGAAAGAAAATTAATGTTAGTAAATGAATTAAAAAAGGTCAGAACAGAATTTAAGAAAAAGCTGGTTCTGAGAAGTTTTGACTCAATATATTAGTTTCCTTATTTTATCAGTATTTTTCTCATATTACTGAAGCAAAGTATGGAATAGTTCTAAGATTTATGCAAGAAAATACATGTATATAATTTTGCATATATGTATACACACATGCATATGGTCACATGAATAATAATATATTAATATAATCCACAAGATGTGACTGACTTTCTTGTCTGTTTTCATCACATGTTAGCAATGCATACCTAAGATCACATTGGGAACCAGGTCTCAGTGTCCAGCCCAAGAGCTTATGGAAATTAGAGAGGATGTAAAGCAACTCTATTATCAGAAGGATCCACATGTTTCTTGGGTAAATTTGGGCTGATGATCAGGCCTCAGATAGGAAAAAATATTCTCCCCAGTATATTTTGTCTTGGATATCATAGAGCAGAATAAGACAGAGCCAAAAAACCCATATTTATGAATAAGTATAAATATAACACCAGGTGGTATATTTCAAATCTCACTGACCACTGTGCAATGTCACCAAATCATTGATGACATAAGATTGCCATACTGAGCACTAGACAATGACACATTTAACATCTACCAGAAGGTCATGGAAGAGATAGGGTGACAGATCAAGTGACAATGCTGTATGTGACTTTGGTACTAATTTCATTTTGGATGTCATCCTGGGCTTTGCCTCAGAGGCGTTGATACCATAGGGAAATTATGCTTAAACATACCAACTAAAATTGTTATTTCTGTTATTTTTCTAATTCACACTTACGATCAAGGACCCAACAATTAGCTGTGATATTTCTGATAATTATGTCTGGAAAGTTTTACAGATGTGTGTCAACAACTCACCCTCAATCCACATTACTCAGTTGAAAAGTCCATTTGTTCTAACAGCTAATGAATGTTTTTAGCTGTTTATGTTTACAAACATTTTTAATCCACTTCAGTGAAATGATATCATTCCTAATAATATTAATGAACATCTGAGAAAAATCTAGTGAAAATCTTCTTCTCATTGGATGAAGATAAACAGTGGTTCTTTTATAACAGGCACTGTTGCTGGCAGTCCAGGTATGCAGTGCTCATTTCTAGACTTGAATAATAAAAACAGGTGACTTTGCTTCCTTCTGAAGTGTACTTCCATGGATTCAGAAGATTTAGAGAAAGCTTAATTAGATTTCTTTTTAATTTCATTTCTCTGAAAGACAAAAGAAAATGATTAAATTTCAGAAAATCAAGTTGTTTGTTTTCCTTAAAACATAATGATATCTTGGGAACATTTCATTCTTTTTTTTTAATGCTGTATATTGTGTAGAAGTCAAAGAAGATTAAGAACACTACAAAGTGTTTTATGGGTATGGAAATTTTTTCCAAAAAAGTTAATTTGTACCTATGAAACTTTTGATATCCAACAGAAGAAAATAAGTTAATTGTACTTGTCTTTTTTTATTACTGGCAAGAATTATTGGGGTGCATCATAAATCTTCAGATCACTTGAGAAAAATGCAGTCATGTATATAGTTCTATAGATGTGTGCAATAATATTCTATCTTTTGTAGCCTTCCTTAAATAATAAGGAGTAAAATTTGAAAAGAAAACAAGATTTCAAGAGAATATATTTTATTCTCCATGTTTACAATGAGAAAACTACCTAAACCAATTAATCCTAATTTCCATACAATTGCTTTTTGCCAAAGATTGTAGATTTGTGTACCTATCTATCTGTGTCTCTATGTATTTAAAAATAAAATTATGTTTAGGTTGATAACCATTGGGCATATTAACCTTCATTTCATCTACCCATTTAATAAACTGATTTTAGAAGTTGTATTTAAGGTGAATAGCAATCACTGATATTCAGGAAAGAAAATTTTGAATTAAGTTTTCTTTCAGTTATTGAGAGGACACTAACAATATAGAATTTGGTACCAAGAATAGGGTGCTGAAGAAGGCATCTATATGGCAAAATTGGCTGATCAATGGAAACAGAAGGGAGGGAAGCAAAAACACCCTTTTTTTTTTAAATTGGCAGGTGGCTAAAAATGTTATGAGGTATAAAGTATTTGGGCAGATTATAATCATTTATATTTTGATTGAGCCTAAGGACAACGTTTGTAATTGGAGATGAACAGCAGAATTTTGGGATCACATTTTTGGGCTATATTTTGTAGCTTTTAATAAGGTTTAACATGAAAGTTTGATTTCTCTAAATATCACATGACAAGTGGGAAAAATAGAAGGAGATGAGATTGGGACAAAATTAGAGTCTAATTATCTCTGAGCACCTTCTGTTTGACAGTGTCTGCCACATAAATGAAACTGGCCCAGAGGAAACGAATGCAGTGTTAAGCAGAGGCAACAACTTTCCCCACCAAGACTGCCATGCTGTAGTGTCTTAAGATCAGCAAAGTGAGGGTTTGGGGTCTGAAAAAACAGTACTGTTGCCAGGATACTGGATTTCTATACAAAACTCTATGTAAACATTTTGCTTGGGGCTGTTAGCTGAGAATTGAATGGAAGCAGATGAGGTAAATATCTAAGAGTTGTGCGAAGAAGCCCTAAGTTTGGCTGAGGACTACTCCTAACTGAGAATTCTCAGGTTGCTGTGTTCTCTTCGTCGAGAACTGGGCTGCTAACACTCTGCTTTAAGCTAGCTAATTCCCAGAAAATATAATCTTCCCAGTATATAAATCTCAGATTTGACTGTTTAAGACAATGAACAAAGAAAATCAAGAATTATGCGTAAGATCAAGAGTCAAGAAGTACGGATAAGAAAGGAATAGGAGATTTGACAAGAAAGCAGAATGGCTTATAAATATATATATTCACCAAGAAAGCAAAATCAGAGAAAACCAAACAAAATCTCATACCCTTTTTAATAAGAATCTTCCTTCTATCAATCTATTAAGGATAGCATCTAAATGCATGATAAATGCTCTACATCAGGGGTGGGAAAAATATGGTCTGTGGGCCAGACATGGCCTGCCTCTCGTTTTGTAAATAATGTTTTATTGGAGCACAGCCATATCTATTCATTCATGTGTTGTGTACAGCTGCTTTTATGCTATAAGCATAGGGTTAAGTTTTACTGACAGAGATCATGTATTCCACAACCCTAAAAATATTAACTGTCTAGTCCCTTACAGAAAAAAAAATGTATGCTGAATTTTTACTATAGATCTACGGATTTTATGTATTATTTTTATTTTATATTCTGAATGGAAGTTTCTATTTTAATTACATAAACAATTACTGTAAAAACAAACAATCTCAAATTTACTGACTTAAAATAAAATATATTATTATGAGGCCAGTGATAGTGGCTCATGCCTATAATCCTAGGAGTTTGGGAGACCAAGTCAGAAGGATTGCTTTAGGCCAGGAATTTGAGACCTCCTGGGCAACATAGGGAGAATCTGTCTCTACAAAAAATTAAATTAAAAAAAGCTAGCCAGGTGTGGTGGTTTGCACTTATAGTCCAAGGTACATGGGAGGCTGAGGTAGGAAGATCATTTGAGCCCAGGAATTAAAGATTATAGTAAACTATGATCGTGCCACTGGATTCCAGCCTCGGTGACAGAGTAAGACCCTGTCTTTAAAAAATATATAAATACATATATATATATGTATTTATATATTTATAAAATACATATACATATATATGTATTTATAGATTTTATAAATATATAAATACATATATATGTATTTATATATTTTTTAAAGACAGGTCTATATATCTATATATACATAGCTGTGTGTATGTGTGTATGTATACATATATATATATATACATATGTGATTCCCCTTTTTATTTAAGCTTGTTTCTATTGCACATACAGTCAGATGTGGGTTGGAGAACTGGCTTTTTTTTTCTTTTTCTCTCTAATAGGTAAGTGTCAACAATTTTTTGTAAAGGACTCAATAGTGAATATTTTAGACTTTGCATGCCACATATTGTCTCTATTGCATATTCTCTGTTAGTTTTTAACAATACTTTACAAACATAAACACATTCTTAGACTCAGGGATGTACAAAAATATATTGTGGGTGGGATTTGGCCCATGGGCCATGGTTTGCCAATTCTGTTCTATGCTTTTTTTGTGCTGACACATCCTTCTGCCAAAGCAAGTTACCAGAGCAGCCCATGCTCTAGACTTTGGGGAATGGATTCCAACTCTTGATGAGAGGAACTGCAAAATCCATTTTAAAAATTACATACAGAGCAAGTTAAAAAAAAGAAAGTTGGCTATTTTTTCAACTTGTCATAGTTTTCCTGTTCTCTTTTTTATCCTAGGCTGGTTATCTAGGAAATGAGCAAGCTATTTTTTACTCATAATTACCCCCATCAAGATGTAATGAAGAAGACTTGAGCATCAACCAGAGTTCCTGAGTTTGGAGCTGAGTCCAGCAGAAAAATGAAGCTTTTCTCATATTGCAGGTAAGTGAGTGCATTTTCTACAGGTGCAGCTTTATTAACAGGAAGAAGGGTGTGAGTGGATGTTTCATATATATTGGAGTGGAATCTATAAATCAATCCTGTTGACATTTGACACTCAAGTTCAAACCCCTCTCTCCTCCATTTCTTCTCTACAACACCACCAGCTGTGTGTTCAGGTGACCCCCATTCTCTAAGAAAACGTATAGTTTCGGGGAGGATAAACCTGACTCAGTCCCCAAAAGTGAGATAACGTCTGGTCTAAGCCACTCTAGGTGTTTGTACTGCTCTAGTTAGATACTTGTTTGTTTTTTTCCCTATACAAGCATACTTATAATAAAGTTTAATTTATAAATTAGGTACGGTAAGAGAGTAACAACAATAACTAATAATAAAATAGAACAATTGTAACAATCACTGCCATACTTCAACAGTCAATCAGATCACCCAGATAGCTTCTAAGTGACTAATGGGCAGGGAGTGAGTATGGCATGGAGACGCTAGACAAAGGGAGGATTCATCCTGGCTGGGACTGAGCATGATGGCTCTAATAGTGACTTCTTAACATCGAGGCATATGGGAAAATGCTGTTTAGTGAGGCATGTCTGCTGGTGTTTTTATGATATTTTTATGTTTTATGGTGTTTTGATGTTTTTACCTTATTAAGGTAAAGAGAGAGGGAAGAAGGAAAAAGAGAGAAGAAGAGAGAGAGATAAGGGGTAGAGAGAGAAAGGGGTACATGGAGAGAGAGAATCTTTTATCTTCTTCTGGATTTTGCTTGTCTAAATACAGTGACTTAATCAGTATGGCCATCTCGTCATTCTTTGGAAATTTACAGAGAGTACTGCCAACAAACAGAGAATACCACAGCTAAAAGATTAAAAAAAATATTTTGAGTCTTGATATCTTTGAGCTGTGCAAATATACCATTACTTACCTTTGGTATTCTGTCAGTATATGATACATTCTCTGATTAGTTAAGCAATCAAATTGACTTTTCTCATACTTGAATTCAAAAACACTGGTTGATTTTACTCAAAACACAATGACAACAGCAACAGCAACAACAAAATCTGTACTGGATGTAAAAAGACTCTCATGTCTGAATACCAGGTATCTGAAGCAGGAAAAGCTACATTAAAAAGGAATAGAATGTGGAATTATGTCTCTTCTTGGGTTGACACTGGGGTAGGGTGGATGAGGAGGTACACAGATGATGCTAGAAAGAATTCTAATTCCTAACAACAACTAATAGCTAAATCTGAGACAATCAAGACAAAATATACATATATATATATATATATATTTCTGCTGAAGAGTTTCATGAAAGTGATGGTGCAATAGCGTAAATCAGTTTCTTGAAAGGAGAGGATGGATTTTTAAAGAAAGTATTTGTTCCTTATCCTAAAGAAAAAAAAAGACAAAATTTTGGTCAAAAATCAGGCTATGCAAATGTAACTTTATGATGAATTCCAAAATGAGTTAGGGTTCCTGAAATTCTCACTATACAAGGTAAAGTTTAAAGGGAGGCTATTTCATGTGAAAGTTAAGCATGCCCTGCTGGTAAGACAGGAGGGACACAGAGTTTGGGCACCAAGAAGAGACTTGAAGTCAGTTCAGATATAGATCACTGAACAGGAATAGCCCTTAAGAGAATGCCTAGGATATGTGCAGGTAAATGTCAACATCTCCCAGGCTAAATGTTGATGGAGCCTTCTAAAGACTAATGAATAATGGAGGTGTGCCATAAATATCAGAAAGCCCCTGTAGTGTCATCTCACTGTGAAAATGAAGTGAAAATAATTTCACATGGAATGTCCTCCTTTAGTCTAATCCCATTATGTGTTATAGTGTTTAATATTTTTAGCAATTACTAAATATGTCATATCATTGGAATTTGTGTGTTGTCTAGTTTCCACACTAAACTGTAACTATCATAGGAGTAGAAAATCTATTTGCCATGTAGGGAAATGGGGACTATTAGGTTTTTAATAAAACTCATTATGAGTGTGTGAATTTCTCCATTATTTCCTAAGGAAGGAGGGAAGTTAGAACTCAATTTAATATAACATTTATTCATTATAAAAATAAAAAATGTTATATGTAAATAATAGAATACAGAGTAATATTTTATCTGATTTTTTATTTTGGAAGAGATTAAATGTTACAAAAATATATTAACTAATGTATCACTAAAACACTAAAGAAAAGGAAAGGCAAAAGGACATTACTTAATTCCAGAAATCCAGTGGCATCTAGCAGATATAATGTAATATAAAAATGAAAAATGTAGAAAGCATGGAGCTCCAGGAAAAAGGAGAAATGCCTAAAATCAATAAGTACTTGCCACATTCTAACAAGGATATTGTACTGATTTTTTCAAACTTTAGTCTGTTTTCATTTGGAAACTTGCTGTTGAGTGTATCTCTGTAAAGTCTTATTATTATATAAATGTTATATAATATTCAATTGTCCATTTATCCAACTCAGTGATTTAAAACTCTCATGATCATATACATATCAAACTTTTATTATATGTAAAATGTGATTTTTTTCAGAAAATTCCAAAAGTCTTCATATTATTATATATTTTGTTACCAATAGAGCATATAGACATACATACACACAGAGATACATTAAGGCTACCTCTCAAAATTTTAAATCATGATCATATTTTGTTTTCTAGGAAATCTTACCATTATAGCCCTTCTAAAATATTTCAATTGAAGATTACTTAATATATCATTTGCTATCTTGACAAGTTTTTTACAATTAATAGGGTATTTTGAAAATTGTTTAGCTATTTACATGGTTATACAAAACTAGCATTTCCATTAAAAAGCTGAAAGCATGATTAAGGAAAAAAACAACCTAATAGATTTATATTAACCACTGACCTATGTCAAAAATATTTTCTGCCAAATATTTTCTGATAATATTTTATTATCTAAAATATTGGTTTAGAAAATGATTTTGTGTAAAGTTGAGGGAATCATTTACTAGTGACTCCCCAGTGGTCTGTGGATGAATATTATATAACTATTCAAAATAGCCATCAAGAATTCAATAGCTATCTAACATTCAAAATAATATTTATTATTTTTATTAGATAAGCATATATTATAATAATTTGGAAAACAAATTAGTATAATGCATTAAATAAACATTAACTGAGATGCTACAACCCAGAAATAACGCCATTATTGATGGCAATGTCTGTATAGATGTTTCCTAGATGTTCACATACATATATAAATTTATATTTTAAATGCAATTTTAAAAAGGATAAATTTATCTCTATATAACAAATTTTAAATCGTATAAATCAAGAAAGGTACCACAATTCTGTTTTTTGTCTGCTTGTATTATTTAGATAAGTTCCTATATGGTAGAAATTAGAATATTAATTAAATTATTTTACTTCATTCATCCCCTTTTTGAAGAATATTTTATCATTTGCATTATGCTATGTGTAACCTAAAAGTTCTATTTAAATTAACTTTAAGGATTACTAGTCCTTGACCCTTTAAAAAATTATATGACTCCCTATTATTGAATTATCTATTTTGACTAACCTCTCAGATAGCTAGAGTTAAGTATTCAAGTAATGTTTTACAAACCTTCTTATCTAAGTACATGTGGAGTCAATAAATAAATTTAAACACATTTACTTCTGTTAATTTCTTATTTACTTTATAATTTTGGAATTTACAGAGCAACATTTTCCTTTATTTCCATTCACAGATAATTTTTTAAGTCTTTTTCACATTTATACTATTTTTTTCCCTCAAAAAGCCACATCTGCATTCTTTCCATGTATTTTCTTAGCATCCTGCAATTCTCTTCAGTTTTCATACTAGAGAAAATTTTTTTTCCTTATACTTTTGTCAGTTATTCCATTTTTCTCTGCTGCATATTTTTCTTCCATAATAGCAGCTATTAGTAGCATGGGACTAGAACTGTCATGCATGGTTTTCAGCTGTATTAAGTAACATGAGTTCATACTGATGTTTCCAAATCTAATTCTATACCATACATATTATTCTAAACTTGCTTCTTTTGCTTATCTGTAACCTTCCATTATAACAATGAAAAACTTGACTCCCACCTTCTGACATCCATTAACTTCATTTTTTTCAATTTCCGCATGCACATATATAGGATTAGAATTAACCCATATTCCTATGGAAACAACTTTACCTACTTGAGTACTGTGCTTATTTCCAATTCCTTTTCCTTTCAGTCTTACAAACTCCATCATTTCTAAAATGCTGAGGTCAACTTTTTCCTCCACCCCCTTCAGAGATGGCATTTCATATATTTTTAATAAATTAGATTGCTTTTATAGTCTGCATTCCATCCTGTAATCCTCTATTTTCTTGAATGTTTTTATTTGCATACCTTAACGTCTATTCTTTATGCTGTAAAGTTTTATGATTTTTGATGAATTCATGAAATTTATCAATTGGGAAATGATAAGAAAAGTGAATATGAAATTTTAATTCTAGTGTCCTAATTATTGCTATATTAGATTAGAATGAAATCATACAAATTATTATTTGCCTCAATGTAACTATCTACTGGGGGATGTGTTTTTATATATTTTATATAAACCAGTATAAGTAAGAAAAAGTGTAAAAATTTAGTTTGAAAAAGTTGCTTGAAGTAATGTAAAATGTGTGCTCACAGGAAAAGTGCTTCAAAAATACTTGTTTTACTGTATTTTTGTTTTCTCTTGAGTCTGAAAAATAAGTCTTTTAGAAAAAAATCGAGTCAGATACACTGCATGATTTACCATAGTCTATGTAAATGAGAAATCTATGTTTGATTTGGCATTAGCGTTATAGATATATCCTAGTGGTTAGTAATATCTCCAGTGGAAAAAATCATGGTGGAATAAAATTATTATTTCTTCTACTATATCACAGATAAAATAATCAGCTAAGTATTATGTTGATTAAAGTTAATCTAATAAATTTGTACATGAAAATGATTATTTCATA